ACCTTCCACTTGAACAGTATGCCCCCAAATTAATTCCTGAAGGTGGGGGAGGGGTGGGGGTGGGGATCTTAGCTATTACAGTGATCTTTCAAAGTTCAACCATATCTGAATATTTAATTTCCTTCAATGTATTTTTCTTGAGGAGAATTCAACTTTTCTCCCTGGGGAAAAATAATGAAAATACAGTAAAGAAACACTGCCTTGGGTCGACATTTCTTTATCCATAGCACTATAGGTTTCCTCTCATCTGGGAAGTTTTCCATCCTGCCCACACCTCCACTTACTTATTCAATCTTTGAGACTAAGTGTCCACACAGTGAAAATGCTGGTGACACAGTGACTAGGCAGGTGTGTGGTTCTTGTGCTTCTGGGGCTTACCACCGAGCTGGGGCAGGGAATGCGGTGTTAGGGGAAAAATACGTCCATAGGAAGCTGATTTTTTAAGGGAGAAGAGTAGTGTCCCACACTGTGATGGGGAGGTAGGGAGTTTAGAAATACTAGTTCTGATGAGAATTTAAACACCCTTGGTATGATCACAGCTCTGTAGTTTTTCCATTTTTTAAAATACAACTTATCATTGAATTGGCTTACATACAACACCCAGTGCTCATCCCAACGTTAGTTCATTTTTATCTAAAATTCACTCCAAGTAAAGAGGTGCTATTTGGAAGCAGTGCTGGCCAGGACTATTACCAGAAAGCTCTGGCAGAAACACCCGGGACAAACTGACCTGACTCAGGCTAACAGCCTCCTGCGTAATCAAGTTCCCCTCCTGCGTACGTTGGGTTACAGTCCCGTGTCATCCAGTCACTACCCCACAACTGTTAGTAAATCCGCACACAAAGCACCAGGCCCCTGGACATTGTGCTTCACAAACACACCCTCCTTTTGGCAGACCACGAAATGACTCAGGGTTAGGTCTCACATGGAATGAGAGACCATCAAACTATGGGCACATGATCAGAAAAGGCTGGAGAAGCACCAGTCTATCTCCAGAGTCTTCACTGGGTATTAACCACCACCAATTCAGAAGAGCAAGCAGACAGAAGTCATGCGTTTTTCGGGGCGCCTGGGTGGCTTAGTCGGTTAAGCGTCCGACTTTCGCTTAGGTCATGATCTCGAGGTTCATGGGTTAGAGCCCCGTGTCGGGCTCTGTGCTGACTGCCAGCTCAGAGCCTGGAGCCTGTTTCAGTCTGTGACTCCCTCTCTCTCTCTGACCCTCCCCTACTCACGCTGTCTCTCTCTCTCTCTCTCCTAGAAATAAATAAAATATTAAAAAAAAAAAAAAAAGAAGTCATGCGTTTTCCTTAAAAGGCTTCATCATGTTGTACCCTCATCAGTAATCAAAGAGTTTTTGTAATTAGGCTCATTGTCAATAGATTGGTTTTGTATTTCCAGGACTTACTATACATAAGTTTTGGGGCACCTGAGTGGCTCAGTAGGCTAAGGGTCTGATTTTCGGCTCAGGTCATGATCTCACAGTCCAGGAGTTTGAGTCCAGCGTGAATCTCTGTGCTGACAGCTCAGAGCCTGGAGCCTGCTTCAGATCCTATCTCCCTGTCTCTCTCTCTGCCCCTCCCCCACTCGCACTGTGTCCCTCTCTCAAAAATAAACAAACAAACAAAAAAAAATACTTAGGCTTTGTGGTTTCTTAAAAGTTTTGAAAACTCTGAATGTATACATGGGTTCACATTGAGGCTAAGCGCTATGCAGTAAATAAGCTTCAGCTAACATCTCAAGTGATTAACCAGGATATTTTTCGGGTCAGAACTTTTACCAAACATTTTTTTAAATTAAATTTCAAACCAACCAGGTTACATGGTAAACAAAAGAAACTAATTTTTTTAAAAAATTAAAATTCTCCAGTGGTTTTAGGAAAAGGGACAGCTTCTTCTTTCCGTGAAGTTTTAAGATCTCAGAAAAAGGAAAGATGTGGGCAGCAAAAATAGGAAGAAAACATAAGGAACGGACAGAGGTAGACCCACCCCCGAGCCAAGAGAAGGAAGGTGGTAGAAGCTTCTCTAGGTTTCATTCTTTACTGGAAAAGCAGAAGGTTACAGTTCGGGGTGCAGCTGTGAGTCCTTAAATAGGGCACAAACAAGTTTTAGCTGTTGTGCAAATAATCAATAAGGCTTGGCTCCCTCCAGGAGCCTGGATCCTGGTCCTCTTAAAGGAGAAAGGTCTGCGGTAGCTGTCTGGGGCACAGAGGCAAGGGGAGGCCACAAGTTGGAGATCCCACCTTACAGCCCTCAGTCAAACATCAAAAAACCAAGGGGGGGGGTGGCGGGGCACAATCAGGGCAGGGCAGGCAACCATTTCTTAACTCTGCACTCATCAATGATTACAATGAAGGATGTGTTTGTCCAAAACAGAGGAAACGGGTTTTTTAATAAATGAGATTTGTTGGATATAAAGAAGGGTAAAATGGATTCTATGTAACATTTCTTGCCCACTATTGTAGAACGGATGCATTTGGAAACACGCCCTTTTGCCATTCTATGGGGAGAACACATTCTCTGTAAGGTAGTGGGAGGGACACCGGCAAACAGCATGGAATGAAATAGAAAAAAAGGACTTAGTCCTAACTCTGAAGGACATTCTAAATATGGTGTGCAGGTGAGGAACATGTAGTCATAATTAGCTTGTTCAAAGAAATTAGGGTTTTTCAACTGCCGTACGATAAAAATCCAAAAGTTTGACTATGCACTCTTAGGAGAGTTCTTGTGGGAGAAGTTCTAATGAATATTACCATTGGAGGTAGGACTGAGCCAAACTGGCCCTGTCTTTGGGCAATTCCACATCTAGACCTTTCTTTTGTAAGTATGCTTGTGCAAGATGCAAAATGCCCAATGTACGAGATAATTTAACGCAACTCTGTTTATAATTGGAAGAGTAACTGCATTTCCTGTGGCCGCTGTAGCCACCTCCTATAAACATAGAGGCTTAAAACAACACAAGGTCATTATCTTACAGTTCTGGAGGTCAGAAGTCCACAATGGGTCTTGCCCAGGTAAAATCAAAGGCTTATTCTTTCCGGAAGTTCTAGGGGAGAGGACATTTCTGAGCCTTCGCCAGCTTCTGCTGAAGTCCCCCATTCTTTGGGTCCAACCTTCTATCACTCCAACCTCCGCTCAACCTCCTTCCTGATGCTAACACTAACGCGTCTGCCTCCCTCTTAAAACAAGGACTCTGGTGATTGATTACATGGGGGCCACCTGGATAATACAGGCTAATCTCCCCTTTTCACGACCCTTAACTTAATCACAGCTGCAAAGCCCATTTTGCCTTGGAAGGTGACACATTCACAGGTTCAGGGGATTAAGATGTTGACACCTTTTACTCACCCTTTCACAGTAGCAAAGGAGTGAAGACAAACTGCCTATCAGTAGTGGACTGGTTAAATAAATTATGGCAAATTTATACAATGGAATATTATACAGTGGTTTAAAATAAGAGAAATCATGATAATAAAAAGAAAGCAAAATATAATGTTAGGTGAAAAAAAGCAAAGTACAGAACAGAGAAAGGAATGTAGTATATATAATATGCTTATTTATATGATTATAGAGCATATGTATATGATTTTACATATGAATATATATAATGTTCATAGAAATAAATTTATTTGTATATGTAAGTATATATTGTATATATAATATTTAAACTGTCCCTGGAATGATACATCAGAAATGAATGAGTGGTTGTCTGCAAGGCAGGAACTAGGTGGCAGTGTTACAAGAATGAGGAGATTTTCCACTATATGTTGTATAATTTATTTTTTATATTTTCTAAACATTTTATTTTAGTTTTTGAGAGACAGAGACAGAGCATGAACGGGGAAGAGGGCAGAGGGAGAGGGAGACACAGAATCCGAAGGAGGCTCCAGGCTCTGAGCTGTCAGCCCAGAGCCCGAAGTGGGGCTGGAACCCACAACAGTGAGATCATGACCTGAGCTGAAGTCAGGCACTCAACCAACTAAGCCACCCAGGCACCCCTATAATTTTTTATTTTTGAAATTTGTAACTATATTACCTGTCCAAAACCACAAAGTAATAAAATCTAGAAAGATTAGAAAGAAGCGCAAAAGGAGGTATAGGAGGGGGAGATCAGTGTAGACTGGGGTCAAAAGTTCAGGTTTCCACAGTAACAGATACAAAATGGCGTCTGATTCCAACGCTACGTGGCAAATTATCGCAAAACTTAGTGGCTTAAAACAACAAGTACCTATTGTCTCACAGTTTTTGAGGGTCTGGATCTGGGATGCCTTAGCTGGGTGGGTCTGGCTCAGAGTCTCTTTAGAGATTAAGATCAAGTTGACAGCTGGGGCTGCCACCATCTCAAGGCTTGGCTGAGGCTGGAGAATCTGCCCGGAAGCTCACTCACTGAGCTCTTGGCAAGAGCCAATCCTCGCTGGTACCTGGCCCCCGTTCCTCACCATGTAGGGCTTTCCATGGAATGCTTGAGTGTGTTCATGACATGACAATTGGTAGGTACTCAAGAAAGAGAGAGAGAGAGAGAGAGAGGGAGATAGGCAGGGAGGGAGAAAGAGAGAGACTGAAGACCAGCCCAAGACAAAGCCCCAGTCTTTTATAATCTAATCCTGGAAGTGACATACCACTTCTGCCATAGGTCGTTGGTCACGCAGACCAACTTCGGTACAGGGAAGCAGGGCACAGGTAGAACACCAGGAGGCAGGAAGGTTCATAGGGAGCCATCGTGGGGGCAGGTACCACAGGGGAGTGGAGGGTGGGGCCCTGGTGAGTCAACATGAGCGAGGGAATAAAAATGGGAACGACTACAGTGAGTGTGGAAGGCAAGGAGGAAGTAGCTCTCATTAGAGTCGTGAGTCCATCCTGGGAAGCAGTGAAAATAAAAGTATGGAGAGGGGGGTTTGCCCCAGTTACTGAGCCCGAGTCCCGCTTCTTGCCACGTTCTCATCTGTGTTCTAGCCCTAAGCTGAAAAATATTCTGTCCCATCACACTGGAAAATTCTTACATACGTGCCAGCTTCTCTCTCGTGCTGGGAGCTGTCTCCGTGGCAGGGGCGTGTCCTTCATTTTCACACTCCCGCCACCCTCCCCCTCAAGCAGAAGGACCAAGCTGCGGCTTGCGCTTCCTGCAGCCTTGAGAAACCAGTCTTTGTCTTCTTAACTGATTCCCCAGCTCTTAAGCACATTTCATTCCAGAACATCCGTGTCTTCTTTTTCAGGGGCAGCAGTGACATTGTATCAAGTTACAGAACTGACATCATGAGCCTCCTGATAACGACCCAACGAAAGAGACAAAACATCGTCTGTGTAACATCACATTTCTTGTACACGTATTTGACTCAAAACACCGTGAGGTAACAATCAGACAAATCCAGCACGGAAACTTCTATAAGGTAACTGGCCTGGCCACTTCAAAAATACCAGGGTCAGGAAAGGAAAAATAAATACGGAGACTGCTCTGCACTAAACAAGACTGAAGGACTAAAATGACTAAATGCTAAGTGTAATCTTGAAATGGGTCCTAACCATTGAAAAAGAAAAAAAAAAAAACCCACAACAACCATAAAACACATTATTAAGATAACTGGGAAAATATGAATAGGGACTGCACATCAGATAATATTATTGTATCAATGTTAAATTTTGGGGTGTGTTAGTGGTACTGTGGTTGCGGAAGAAAATATCCTGGTTCTTAGGAGAAACACGCCAAAGTATTTAGTAGGACGGAAGTGTTCTGGTGTGCGCATCTTTCAAATGATTCAAAAAGTATGCATGTGTATGTTCGTGTGTGTGTGTGTGTGTGTGTGTCTGGGAAGAGAAATCAACTCTGGCAAAATGTAAACAATCAAATCCATGTGAAGAGTATGGAAGTGTTCATTGTAGGACTTTGAACTATTCTATGGCTACGTTTTCAAAGGCTGTATAAATATACACACACACAACGGAAAGCAGGAGCATAAGTTAGGACAAGGTGCATATTCATGTAGCTACAGTGCCCAAGGGGGCTACGTCCAGTCTGAAAAGCCCACCTCACAATTCACAGAGGGGACAAACCCTGAAATATCCTGTCATTACGAGTATCTGAGCCACAGAAATCAGGATATAGATCTTTTCATTGCTTTTATTTTTAAGTTTATTTATTTTATTTTGAGAGAGAGACAGAGAGACAGAGAGGGGCATTCAAGCAGGGGAGGGGCAGAGAGAGAATCCCAAGCAGGCTCTGCAATGTCAACTCATACTGAAGCTGGTCGGACATCCCCCTCCGTTGGCCCTCTGGCATTTGCTGATTCATCGCTGGGTCATGGAGGACACGCACAAAATAGTATCATAGAGCTTTCAGCGGGCGTGCTGAGCTGGGAGACGAAAACATTGGGTTGAATTCCACCCAAACAACCCAGGCTTAAAGGGCCAAGACCCTAAGAAAAGGGAGCACAGACATTGAGCCACCTGAGACCAGCTGACCACAGATGAGCAGAGGTCTGGGTGGGGTCACGGTGCTGGGGATGAGAATGAAATAGAGGACCTGCGGAAAGGGAAGGGCACTAATAAAGGCCCCGAGTTTGCAGCGCACATCCCTGAAATGGCTACATCCTAAGAATAAATGCAAACTGAAAATAGACCACCCTCAGCTAAATTAACTGATGACCAAAGTACATAAAATCCTCTATGGATAACATCTACCAAAACCTCTATGATTTTCACAAAGAATGTTGAGCGCTGAATAAAAAAAAGAAAATAAATCCAGGAATGACAAGATACGTGACCAAATGACTGAAAAACAGAAAAGAGAGACAAACCTATGTGATTCAAGTGTTGGAATGATCAGACATGAACTTTAAAGGAACAGGCAATATAATGAGACCCAAGCTTTGAAATAACTAATAAGTTGTCTGTCTCTTGATCTGGGTTACAAGTGTGGTTTTAAAGCAGGTTAAGTGTGTTTACTTTGGGATAATTCATCAACCTGTATATTTAATACTGTGGACTTTCTTTACTACAACTTCACACACACACACACACACACACACACACACACAAAACTTGGGGACTTCAGTGAAATCTGGGCTTAGAGGGAAATTCATAGTCTTCAGTGCACATATTTGAAAGAGTAGGCTGAAAAACGATGTTAGTATCATCTCAAAAAAATTTTTTTAGTGTTTATTTCTGAGAGAAAGAGAGTGGGGGAAGGGTAGAGAGAAAGGGAGACAGAGGATCTGACGCAGGCTCTGTGCTGACAGCGGGGTTTGAACTAACAAACTGAGTGAGATCTGAAGCCAGACACTGACCTGATTGACCCACCCAAGGACCCCTTAAAAACTTTTTTAAAAAACAACAGAAAACCTGGGACACCTGGATGGCTCAGTTGGTTAAGCATCTGATTTTTGTTCAGGTCATGATCTCATGGTTTGTGGGTTCGAGCCCCATGTTGGGCTCTGTGCTGACAGCTCAGAGCCAGGAGCCTACTTTGGATTCTGTGTCTCCCCCTCTCTCCGCCCCTCCCCCCACTCACACTCTGTTTTTCTCTCCTTCAAAGATAAATAAACATTAAAATTTTTTTTTTAAAGAACAGAAAATTTAAAGATGGAAACAATGAGGGTGAAAGCAGAAGTCAGTGAAATAGAATACAAATACATTGCATTTTTAACAATACCCAAAGTATGGAAGGAGCGTAAATGTCCATCAACTGATGAATGGACCAAGAAGGTGTGGGTTATATAAACAATGGAATACTCCATGGCAATGAGAAAGAATGAAATCCTGCAATTTGCAGCAACATGGATGCAACTGGAGGTTATTATGCTGAATGATAGAAGTCTGTCAGAGAAAGACAGATATCATATGTTTTCACTCATAGTGGAGCTTGAGAAACTTAACAGAAGAGGATGGGGGAAGGGAAGGGGAAAAAATAGTTACAAACAGAGAGGGAGGGAGGCGAACCATAAGAGATTAAATACAGAGAACAAACTGAGGGTTGCTGGTGGGGGAGGTGGCTGTGGGGAAGAGGGGAAAACGGGTGATGGGCATTGAGGAGGGCACTTGTCAGGATGAGCACTGGGGGTTTATACAAGCAATGAATCACAAGAATCTATGCCCAAAAGAGGGGCGCCTGGGTGGCTTAGTCGGTTAAGCGTCCGACTTTCGCTTGGGTCATGATCTCGCGGTTCGTGGGTTCGAGCCCCGCGTCGGGCTCTGTGCTGACTGCCAGCTCAGAGCCTGGCGCCTGTTTCAGTCTGTGACTCCCTCTCTCTCTGACCCTCTCCTGCTCACGCTGTCTCTCTCTCTCCTAGAAATAAATAAAAACATTAAAAAAAAATTAAAAAAAAAAATCTATGCCCAAAAGAAAGAACACAGAGTACACACTGTATGTTAGCCAACTTGACAATAAATTATATTATATTATAAATAAACAAATAAATAAAGCAAATGCATAATGGAGAAATACAAGGAGCCAAAAACTGGCTATTTGAATGGCACCATTGATAATTTCTGTAGTGTCTAGCCTGCAGCAGTTCTCACCTCCTGCCATTCACAGCCTTGTACACAAGCCCTCTCTCAGGCTCTTTTGTAGTGAGTAGGGCTGGCCTGTGTTATTAAGACGATAATGCAAATGACAGAGTGTGACACCCAAGGCCAGATTATAAAAGACATTGCAGCTTTCACCTTCCTCTCTCAAAGATCATTCACTCTGGATAAAATGAACTACCGGGGTACCTGGTTGGCTCAGTCAGTTAAGCGTCCAACTTCAGCTCAGGTCATGATCTCACGATTTGTGAGTTCAAGTCCCAGTTGGGCTCTGTGCTGACAGCTCAAAGCCTGGAGTCTGCTTCAGATTCTGTGTCTCCCTCTCTCTCTTCCCCTCCACAGCTCATGCTCTGTCTCTCTCTCTCTGTCTCTCAAAAATGAATAGATGTAAAAAATATATTTTAAAAAAATGAACTACCAAGTTTAAGGACCCTCAAGCAATCCTACTGAGAAATTAATGTGCTAAATTACTAAGATCTACTAACAGCCAACATGAACTTGCCGCCATGTTGAGTGTGCCACCTTCAAATCAGACCTTCCAGCTTCAGTCAAGCTTTGAGATGGCTGCAGCCCTGGCCCACCTGCTGACTATAACACAAAACAAAACCATCCACCTAAAGTATTCCTGAAATCTTGACCCACAGAAACTATATGAGACAATATATTTGTTTTCCATTGCTGCATAACAAATTACCACAAATGAAGAGTTTATGAAAACACATATTTAGCAATCCCTATCAAAATAACCCCAGCATTGTCCACAGAGCTCGAACAAACAATCCTAAAATTTGTATGGAACCAGAAAAGGCCTCAAATAGCCAAAGCAACCCAGAAAAAGTAAACAAGAGCTGGAAGCATCACAATCCCAGACTTCAAGATACATTACAAAGCTGTAATCATCAAGGCAGTATGGTACTGGTCCAAGAACAGACACTCAGATCAATGGGACAGAATAGAAAACCCAGAAATGGACCCATAAACATATGGCCAACTAATATTTGACAAAGCAGGAAAGAATATCCTATGGAAAAAATGTCTTCAGTAAATGGTGTTGGGAAAACTGGACAGTGACATGCAGAAGAATGAACTTGGACCACTTTCTAATGCACAAAAATACACAAAAATAAACTCAAAATGGATGAAAAACCTAAAAGTAAGACAGGAAGCCATCAAAATCCTAGAGAAAGCAGGCAACAACCTCTTTGACCTCAGCTGTGGCAACTTCTTACTTAACATGTCTCCAGAGGCAAGGGAAACAAAAGAAAAAATGAACATTAGGACATCATCAAGATAAAAAGCTTCTGGGGGCGCCTGGGTGGCTCAGTGGGTTAAGCGTCTGGCTTTGGCTCAGGTCATGATCTCGCGGTTCATGGGTTCGAGCCCCGTGTCGGGCTCTGTACTGACAGCTAACCTGGAGCCTGTTTCAGGTTCTGTGTGTGTGTCTCTCTCTCTGACCCTCCCCTGCTCACACTGTCTCTGTCAGAAATAAATAAAAACATTTTTTAAAAAATGATAAAAAGCTTCTGCATAGTGAAGGAAACCATCAGCAAAACTAAAAGACAACCAACGAAATGGGAGAAGATATTTGCAAATGACATAGCAGATAAAGGGTTAGTATCCAAAATCTATAAAGAACTTACCAACTCAACACCCAAAAAAACAAATAATCCAGTGAAGAAATGGGGAGAAGACAGGAATAGACACTCTTCTGAAGAAGATATCCAGATGGCTAGCAGACACATGAAAAGACGCTCAACATCACTCATCATCAGGGAAATATAAATCAAAGTCACTATGAGATACCACCTCATACCTGTCAGAATGACTAAAATTAACAACTCAGGCAACAACAGATGTTGGAGAGGATGCAAAGAAAGAGGAACCCTTGTCCACTGCTGATGGGAACGCAAACTGGTGTAGCCACTCTGGAAAACTATGGAGGTGCCTCAAAAAATTAAAAATGGAACTACCCTACGATCTAGCAACTCCACTACTAGGAATTTATCCAAAGGATACAGCAGTGCTGATTCAAAGGGGCACATGCACCCCAATGTTTATAGCAGCACTATTGACAATAGCCAAAGTATCAGAAGAGCCCAAGTGTCCATCGACTGGTTAAAGGATGGAGAAGATGTGATATATAGTACAATGGAGTATTACTTAACAATCAAAAAGAATGAAATATTGCCATTTGCAACAAGATGAATGGAACTGGAGTGTGTTACGCTGTGTGAAATCAGTCAGTCAGAGAAAGACAGATATCATATGACTTCTTTCATATGTGGAATTCAAGATACAATACAGATGAATATAAGGCAAGGGAAGCCAAAATAATATAAAAACAGGGAGACAACCATAAGAGATTCTTTTCTTTTTTAATTTATTTTTGAGAGAGAGAGAGACAGAGAGATAGAGCATGAGTGGGGATGAGGCAGAGAGAGAGAGAAAGAGAGAGAGAGAGAGGGAGAGAGAGAGAGAGAGAATCTGAAGCAGTCCAGGCTCTGAGCTGTCAGCACAGAGCCCGGTGCAGGGCCCAGGCTCACCAGCCACAAGATCCTGACCTGGGCCGAAGTTGGACGCTTAACCGACTGAACCACCCAGGCACTGCCATAAGAGTCTCTTAATTACAGAGAACAAACTGAGGGTTGTTGGTGGCGTATTTGGTGGGGGGATGGGCCAAATGGACAATGGGCATTAAGGAGGGCACTTGTTGGGATAAGCACTAGGTATTATCTATAAGTGATGAATCACTAGATTCTATTCCTGAAATCATTATGACACTATAGGATGATTAACTTGGATTTAAATTTTTAAAAATAATAACAATAAAACACATACTTAGTATCTTACATTTTCCGTGGGCCGGGAACCTGGGCACAGCTCAAGGAACTTCTCTGCCTGGGGCGTCTTGCAGGGCTGCAGCCAGGGTGTCTGCTGGACTAAGCTCTTACCTGGAGGTGTTTCTGGGGAAGAAGCCACTTTCAAGCCCATTGAGGCTGT